GTGTGTAACAAGACTAACAACAATCGACCTGTTCTGTTTTTGCCGCACAGTGGCCTTCGCTTACAGTTACTATGTGTAACAACAATCCACCTGTTCTGTTTTTCCGGCACAGTGGCCTTCCCTTATAGTTACTGTGTGTAACAACAGCCCGCCTGTTCTGTTTTTGCCGCACAGTGGCCTTCGCTTACAGTTACTGTGTGTAACAACAATCCACATGTTCTGTTTTTCCGGCACAGTTGTGGATAAATGCGTGAATCCGAGCACACACGACTGTACGCAAGTGTGCACGCCAGACAAGGACGCAGCCAAGCTCTATGTGTGCAGCTGCTATCCAGGATTCACTTACGACGATACCGACGGCACATGTTCAGGTGAGAGGCACATGTTCAGGTGAGACGCACATGTTCAGATGAGACGCACATGCTCAGGTGAGACGCACATGCTCAGGTGAGAGGCACACGCTCAGGTGAGACGCACATGCTCAGGTGAGAGGCACACGCTCAAGTGAGAGGCACATGCTCAGGTGAGACGCACATGTTCAGGTGAGAGGCACATGCTCAGGTGAGAGGCTCTCACCTGAACATGTGCCTCTCACCTGAACATGTGGCACATGCTCAGGTGAGAGGCACATGTTCAGGTGAGAGGCACATGCTCAGGTGAGAGGTACATGTTCAGGTGAGAGGCACATGTTCAGGTGAGACACACATACTCAGGTCATATCTTGTAATAAATCACACAAAAATATATTACAATAATTATTAGATAGTTAGTTTATATAAACGCGTATTATATGCCTTGTCGTTGTTTCTTTCATTTCAACTGTGGTTTTTTTAAATCAAAATATCTGGTTTTCATGTTGCATCTACTAAACGTTGTTATTTTATTTCGTATTTTTTTACATTTTACAAACGTGCGTGTTTTTTTTGGCATGCAGCGGACACTGCGTGCGATGCCGACAACGATTGCGATGCTACCGACGGTTACTGCAGGCTTATCAATTCACTGCCGACCTGTTCCTGCCGCCTAGGCTATAGTCTCACAGTCGACAATAAATGTGAAGGTGACTTTAAATTGACTACGTCACGAATTTTCTATGGTGTATATTTGATACATGACCCCAGTTCCAGAGTCATACGGTGTATACATAATAGTATATATGTATGATAAAGGACATAGTATATAGTTAACTTATGTCTGATAAAGGAGATAGTATATAGGTAACTTATGTATGATAAAGGACATAGTATAAAGGTAACTTATGTATGATAAAGGACATAGTATAAAAGTAACTTATATATAATAAAAGACATAGTATAAAGGTAGCTTATGTATGATAAAGGACATAGTATATAGGTAACTTATGTATGATAAAGGGCATAGTATAAAAGGAAACGTGCGCATGATATATGATATAGTATACAGGTATCGTATTTATGATATAGTATACAAGTAACGTAGATGCGATATATAGGATATGATATAATAACATGTTTAACACATTATTCTGTCACGTGCCTAATGCGCGGTCACGTGGTTAGTCGCGCAGTCACGTGGTTGAAAGCGCGCGTCATGACGTCGTCGTCTGCTTGTAGTGATGGATATGTGCGAACAGCAAACAGACACGTGTGACGTCGCCAACGGTGGCTGCGTGAATCTGTCCGACGGAGGGTACGAGTGCACCTGTAACCATGGTTACGAACTGCTAGCAGACGACAGCTGCCGAGGTGAGGAGCGCATGCGCACACTAACGAATGGCGAGCTTGCCTGTTAAAATCTATAGTTTATACGTCAACATACGCATACACACACACACACACACACACACACACACACACACACACACACACACACACACACACACACACACACACACACACACACACACACACACACACACACACACACACACACACACACACACACACACACACACACACACGCACACACACAATACTCTCTGGTATGCGGGGGTCAACGGGATCACAATTGCGGCGGCAAAGAGCGCCGATTTTTCATAATAGAATTTGCGTTAAATTGCCATTTCGGACGATATTCCCTCTAATCTGCGGTCGCTATGCAGGAATCCGTTGGTGACCTATGACCCGCGGCGCGCGGTAAGACTTCTTCTTGAGGAATATAGCGCGCGTCAGCGTCTTCGTCGTAATCCACTCACTCGTTCGTTCGTTACCCCCCCACCAGAGGGCGTGGCTGGAATGCGTTCATCCGCTTCCTGTCTTCCCTGTCTGCACAGAACACTCAGGGTTGGATCTAGCCGCCAGGGATCATTGGTCGCACGTGCGTGCACGTATCCTGATGTTTGTGTTGTAAAGAGCCGTCTCTCCACCTCTACCTCCTCCTCGTGCTCCACCTCCTCCTCGTGCTCCACCTCCTCCTCGTGCTCCTCCTCCTCCACCTCCACCTCCACCTCCACCACCTCCTCGTGCTCCTCCACCTCCACCTCCACCTCCACCTCCGTCCTCGTGAGGGTTCACCGCGATATATAATCGCTAACCCAGTTCAGTTTTATTTTATGGTTGTTTATGTCGCGTGAGCTTTACCCCGTGTAGATATTACATCTCTACATGTACAACTTTTACAACTACAGCGCGGTGGTAAGAAGGAGGGTGATACTGATTGTCCTTTTGACGTGGATGGTCGTGGAGGTCGCTATACAGACCATCACAGCAGTCATTGATGCGCGTGAGAAAACAGGGTTTATGCCACATCGACAGAGATCTGAATGCATGGCATCTACATACGCGAGCCTGTACGATGAAATCGTCCGAACGTGGCTGTGCTAGTGACCAGTGTCCAGTCAGTCAGTGACCACGTCTTTCTTAGTCGCTCGATGCTCTAGATAATGCACGTATTCAAAGTTGTCTGAGCCGATACTAGCTAGTCAGCTAGCATTCCTGTCTAAACTGCGTACACATCATTTGCACTAACAAGGTTTAGCGAAAGAAAGATTTGTTTTCACGAATGAATGTCATGTTAGATTTGTTTCGGCAGACAATGTCTCGGTTCTGTTATTGTGGACAACACACACGAAGACATTGTTTGTATGATGAACAGTCGTTGTTTAATACTGTTCACGCAATAGTTGAATCAACGCACAGTCGGTAGGCACTTGCGTTCTAGAATGACGTACCTATAAATGTGTTACAACAAGAGGGTGCCTAGTTTTTGTTCAATCGACTGATGTCAACTGTAAATCTGCCCCCGAAGTTTTCCGGCTGTATCTGGGGTGTGGAGGGGGCATTGGTCCGAACTGCCGCACCGCTCTTTACGACGAACCGTCTTGTTGCCGTTAGTAACGCCGTAGCAAGTTTCTACGAAGAGAGAAGAAAAAAACGCGCACCAACTTAAAATATTTCCTTTGCATCGCGGGAAGGGATTATCCCGGCCATTTCGAAATCCGGCATTCACGAGGGCTGGGGTCAATAATTACGGCTTTGTGTTCCCGCACAAAGCGCCGCCTGACAGTGAAATATTCCAGTCTCGCTCGGAGTGACAGACATTGTTGACGGACAACAGCAGCAGTGTTCGTCCGCGCTCCTCCTTCTCTCCCTTACACCACCCCTCCTGCTCCTCTCTCTCTCTCTCTCTCTCTCTCTCTCTCTCTCTCTCTCTCTCTCTCTCTCTCTCTCTCTCTCTGTCTCTCCCTCTCTCTCTCTCTCTCTCTCTCTCTCTCTCTCTCTCTCTCTCTCCCTGTCTCTCTCTCTCCCTCCGTCTCTCCCTCCCTCCGTCTCTCCTTCCCTCCGTCTCTCCCCCCCTCCCTCCTTCCCTCCGTCTCTCCTTCCCTCCCTCCCTCCGTCTCTCCCTCCCTCCGTCTCTCCTTCCCTCCGTCTCTCCCTCCCTCCGTCTCTCCCTCCCTCCGTCTCTCCCTCCCTCCGTCTCTCCCTCCGTCTCTCGATCTCTCTCCCTCTATCTATCTCCTGACTGTAACCCTAACCTCTGCGGGTGCATCGTCTGGTGATCGTACTAGACGTACCATGTTGACTACACACACATATATATCAAGAGCTCATAATACAAAAAATATACCACCGAAAAAAAAATACAAAAAATGATATTATAAAGGTATTATTAGCTCTTGATAATATTAGTAAGCGCGTAATATATAAACCGCGGGGTGGCTTGATCTCTTGCGTCGACAATATGGCACAAAAACCCGTTAAGTCTTTAAGTCTTGAATGTCTTTAGACTCTTTAGAGTCTTTTTAGAGTCTTTTTAGAGTCTTTTAGAATCTTTAAGTCTTTCTGATATTACGAATGCACGATGTAGAGCGCACTGCATGCATGCGATTACGTTTGGTGAACTAGCGAGACGTTTTAATGTGGTAATCCAGCTTTATTTGATGCAGACTTTACGTCTACGTCGTCTTTAATCCTCGCATTGCCATGCAAATTTTGTTCGTAATGACGTAATGATTTCACGAGGTCGGAATCGGCGTGTGGCGTGGTCTTAAAACCGCTGCGCTGATCCATGAAATGCAGCGGGGCAGTTCGTACGAAGCGCGATCTGATATTCGGTTTTTTATGCCTATCAGATCGAGAGCGTATTAAGAAGGAATGATGCTATTCAAATTACGTTAACGCCCCGATGATTATGAAATCATTGATGACAATTATATTTCGTTATTACGTTCTTTCTGGAAGCGAGTCTTTGTTATCGTTGGACGATAGACGCAAGGACGAAGTCACCTCGATTAGATCTTTAATAGCTTTGTAAACGCGGTAGTAATTGAGTCGAAACTCTAGTCCCCAAGCGTGTAATTTCAGCTGGGTATCCATGAGCAGTACAGGGGCGACTGATTGCAGATAGAGGAATGCCACAGGAATGCGGGATATCCTTGAATCGATTATTCCAATGAGAGAGAGAGAGAGAAGTGAGTGGCAGACACGCTGCGGTAGGGCGTATATACAGAGCAAGCTCTGCGATTGTCAAACATTTGATCAATGTTTTTCTCACAAGGAGATGATGGCAATATATGCAGTTCTCTAGTAAAGCCTGGCTAAAAACAAAGTTCGTTGCAAAGCCGTTACCGCATATCAAGTGTAAATCACTCTCACACACGCGTGTGTCATGCGCACACCTCGTTCAACACATCTTACCCTACATACATGTTCCCCTCGCATGCGTCACGAGATTTCAAATAGAAGATTTCGTGATACAGATGGATTACTCTGGCACGTTTACTCTGTGTATTATTTGCACCTCGCAAAGCGCAGAGCTATTTGCTCAGTTGCAGACCAGTTTGTAATAAGGACAAATCCTGGAATGTGTAGAATGATCACCTTACATGCTTCCTGTCAAACTGACTATACTCGATGTCCATTCCAACGTGAGAGCTATATATAAATATGTCTAAATATGGCTAAATATATATAAATAATCTAAATATGGCTATTCGGCGATGAATTCTCCAATTCTACGAATCACCGTCAATATTTAGAGCGATTTATCATTAACAATGGCGTTGTTTCCCGCCCCTCGTTGTTCACTGCCACGGATCGCTGCATGCGTTTGTAGCGATTTGCCTTTAAACGCTTGTCGCTGCAGTTCGCGACATTTTTCGCGTGAAATCGTCTGGAAGAACACGCGGGTAATGTAACCCAGGTACCCGGTCGTTCATCGTGGGCGGAGGACGCCCCGGGAAAGTCAACTGTTTTTCCCCAGCCGCCGTCACCTCACGCCTCGTCATACACTTACAAGTAGCAGTGTTCGCTTTTACTTGCGCTTTTACTTGCGTGTAAATGTGTGTTAAAGTTGTGCGACGTACTTGTGACGGAGATGTGTTGTGACGTGAGAGGAGGGCTCTATCCCCGTCTGCCGAAATCTCCCGGTGCCCCCCCCCCAACGATGAAATTCGAAAATTTTCTTCTTCAGAGGGAAAGGATTTTCTAAGTGGCTGAACAGCGCTCGCTCGCCGACGTAAACAGGGTTAGGTTTGCTGGATGGGTACTTACCGTCTTAGAGAGAAGGCGGTGGAGGAGTGTCGAGAAGGAGGTGATCAACCTTTAGGTTCGGTGTGCAAGGCTGAGGAGTAAACATAAGTGGCGTGTCAGCGCTGTATTATAACGCTGCCAATTTCAATGTCATCTGTCTGTCTCTCACACACATACACTCTCTTTTCCTCTCTCTCTCACTCTCGCTCACTTTCTTGCTTTCTCACTCTCGCTCTTGCTCTCGCTCTCTCTCACACCCACTTTCGCTCTAGCTCTCTTTCTTTCTTTTTTTCTTTCTCTCTCACTCTCGCTCTCGCTCTCGCTCTCTTTCTCACTCTCGCTCTCGCTCTCTTTCTCACTCTCGCTCTCGCTCTCTTTCTCAATCTCGCTCTCGTTCTCGCTTTCTCTCTCTTTCTCTCTCTCTCTCGCTCATTTTATTTCCTGGCGATAAACTCTGTAATCACCGTCCCCGTCATAATCTTCTTCTTAAAATTTTATTTCCTGGCGATAAACGCTGTAATCACCGTCATCGGAGTCTCATCTCAAATCTGGGTCTCTGCTGCTTCATAGATCTCTAATGAAGAATGAAGTGAGTTCCCATCCAACCCACGCTGTCCAACCACGCTGTCCACCCACAGGTAAGGCCAGGTGAGTGACAGATGCGGCTTTACAAATATGTCGCGCGGCAAAGTGATATTTCGATGCATTAGCGGGGCAATGACGGGCAATCGTTCTGCCGCTGCTGCCGCTGCTACCGCTGCTACCGCTGCCCTTTG